ATGCTTCACCTGCACAGCCCATGCCTGTATTTGCCTGCACACCACTGAACACTTCTCATTTTTCCTACATTTCATTGCCTTAAATAACCTAGAGAAAAGAAAGAGATACTCAACAGCCAACTTCCTTTTACAACTATATGCATTGTGTACATATGATGAAATTGATAAATCAACATTTGGGGTTTGCTAAAAGATACTCTATTCTAAGGTTTATTTATATTATGGCACAATCTATCTGCCCCAAGCAAGACTGGGTCTTGTTTTGCTATATGCTGTCCGTATACCTTCACAGTGTGAGAGGAAGTACTTGGCTGCAATACTCACAGTTTAAAGAGCACAGATAAATAAAGGTTCACATCCTTTTATAGCTTATGGCTATATAAGCCTCCACAGCAGAGGCCATATTTTCAAAGAGCTCATCTCAGCTTATCTTGCATTTAGGCCCCTAAGTGAGGTGGCCAGATGCTCAATGCTGGGAATCCACTGCTCACAGTTGGAGCTGCCAGGTTCTAAGCACTTTGAAGAATCTTGCCCTCACTGGTTGCCTGAGGCTGTACAGAATATCCATGGCAGTGCCAGGAACTAAACTCTTCTGAGCTTAGGTCTGTTGGCAGAGCCACAGACTGCTCTCAGTTCTTCTATCTGGGGTAATACGGATACATAATACGGTAGCTTTGGGCAACGCCACCTCTAATGATAGTGGATGTACATAGTTTTACATACAGCAAACTCATTCTTCCAGCATAGAAAGAAGATATTCAGGGAGAACGATATCCTAGGTCTAAACAAGCCAGCATCAGTTTTTAAATTCATACTGTTCCAATGCACAGCATAGCTGAAGCTGCTCCTGACTTTCCCAAAGGGCCTGGCTGCCCTTCCAACACCCTTGCAATAATTTTTTCCCCACAAATTGCCCAGACTACACAAACTAGTAGTATAGCTGCAAGGCTCTACATAGACGCTAGTATGGCTTCATTTGACAAAGCTCTGACCTCAGGATTGCTGTTCTCGGGGGAAAAAAAAATTAGAAATCAGTGTAAATGGGAAACTGCAGAAAAAGAAATCATCTACAAACTGAATTGTATTAAATATCATTAAACAGGGACTATAGATTTGTATCTCATTACTTGGATTAGCTGTTGTGACCCTCTTTGTTTCTCTAGGTTTACTGCTTGCTTGCTTTTCTCTTCTATCTGCCCCACTCCCCTGGATTTCTCTCTCCCCACTCTCCCTTCTCTTTTGTGCTCTAATTTTTCTCTTCTTCTTTCTGCTTTCTTCAGGTCCTTTCACAGCATCTGACGAAGTGAGCTTCTGCTCAAAGCTCTGTCTACCATAAGGTTTTCAGCAAATTCTGTTTTGTTTTGTTTTGTTTTGTTTTGGCACATCCACAGAATCATAGGAAATTGGGGTTGGAAGGGACCTCAGGGGGTCATTTAGTCCCACCCCCTACTCAAAGCAGGACCAGCCCCAGCTAGATCATTCCAGCCAGGGATTTGTCAAGCCAGGCCTTAAAAACCTCCAGAATTGAGAGTCTACCACCTCTCTAGGTAACTTCTTCCAGTGTTTCACCACCCTTCTAGTGAGATTTTTTTTTTCTAACATCCAACCTAAACCTTCCTTGCTGCAACTTGAGATCATTGCTCCTTGTTCTGTCATCTGTCACCCCAGAGAACAGTCTAGTTCTATCCTCTTTGGAACCCCCTCCCCCCACTTCAGATAGTTAAAGGCTGCTATTAAATCCTCTCCCAGTCACCTCTTCCCCAAACTAAATAAACCCAGTTCCCTCAGCCTCTTCTCATAAGTCATGTGCCCCAGCCCCCAAACCATTTTTGTTGCTCTCTGCTGTACTTTCCAGCTTATCTACATCCTTTCTATAGTGGGGGCCCCAAAATTAGCCACAGATGTGACCTCACCAGAGCAGAATAGAGTGGAATAATTATTTCTCTTGATCTGCTGGAAATGCTCCTAATAATGCAGCCCAGTATGCTATGCCGTTAGCCTTTTGGCAACAAGGACACACTGCTGGCTCATATCCAGCTTATTGTCCATGGTAACCCCCAGGATATATATATATATATCTGAAGAAAAGGACCTGGGGGTTACCGTGGACAATAAGCTGGATATGAACCAGCAGTGTGTCCTTGTTGCCAAAAGGCTAACGGCATAGCATACTGGGTTGCATTAGTAGGAGCACTACCAGCATGCCAGCAATATATATATAGAAAGGGCTAAGTTTTTTACATTCCCAAAGCATAGACTTTAAGAACAATGGCAAAAGTCATGAGTTGGCAACACTATGCACTTAGGACAGAAGAATCCCATGCACTGCTATAGCCTGGGGACTGACTGGCTAAGCAGCAGCTCTGTAGAAAAGGACTCAGGGTCCTTTCTTTTATATATATAAAGAAAGAACTACGTTTTTCACATTTCTGAAGTGTAGACTTTAAGAACAACACCAAAAATCATGAGAGTTGCAAATACTGAGTGTAGGACTTTGCACTTGTCCTTGTTGAACCTCATGAGATTTCTTTTGGCCTAATCCTCCACTTTATAGCCCTACCCTCCAGCGTATCTGCTACACCCTTCTGTTTGGTGTCATCTGTGAACTTGCTGAGGGTACAATCCATCCCATCTTTCAAATCATTAATGAAGATATTGAACAAAAGCAGCCCCAGGACTGACCCCTGGGGCACTCCACTTGATACCAGCTGCCAGCTAGACATTGAGCCATTGATTGCTACCCATTGAGCCCGACAATCCATCCAGCTTTCTATCCACCTTACAGCCCAGTCATACAGCCCATACTTCCTCAGCTTGCTTGCAAGAATGTTGTGGGAGATGGTATCAATATACCTTGACTTAAGCAAAGCTTTTATGTCCACTGCTTTCCCTGCATACACAGAGGCACTCAGGATGGTCAGGCATGACTTGCCCTTGGTGAATCCATGCTGACTGTTCCAAATCCCTTTCTTCTCCTCCAAGTGCTTAGAAATGGATTCTTAAGGATCTGCTACATGATTTTTCCAGGGACTAAAGTGAGGCTGACTGGTCTGTAGTTCCCTGGATCTTCCCTTTCTTAAAGATGGACACTATATTTGCCCTTTTCCAATTGTCCGGGACCTCCCCTGATCACCACAAGTTTTCAAATATAATGGCCAGTGGCTCTACAATCACATCAGCTAACTCCCTCAGCAGCCTCAGATGCATCACACCCAGTCTCATGAACTTGTACATGTCCAGCTTTTTTAAATAGTCCCTAACCTGTTATTTCACCACTGAGGGCTTCTCACCTCCTTCCCAACTGTGCTGCCTGGTACAGTAATCTGGAAGCTGACCTTGCCTGTGAAGTCCAAGGTTAAAAAGGCATTGAGCACTTCAGCCGTCTCCTCATCTGTCACTAGGTTGCCTCCCCCATTCAGTAAGGGACCCACACTTTCTGCGACCTTACTCTTCTTGCCAACATACTTGTAGAAACCCTTCTTGTTATCCTTACAGAGGTGTAGGTTACAGCCATGTTGGTCTAAGGACATGGGCAGACAAGGGTAAATCTGATATCTTTTATTAGACTAACTCAAAGAATTGGCAAAATTCTTCTTAGCAACCTTTCGGATTTAAATACCCTTTGTCAGGCTGAAGAAGCATCTGCAGTCGGTGTGTATTCTTCCTGGATGAAATGAATGGTAAAGAAGCCAGAGGCTGGTCTGCATGCAAGAAAGCCAGTCAGTGAAGATGTAAATTGAGGAGTCAGTGGGTGAGACACAGGCTGAGGGGAAGGGGGGGGGGGGGGGGGGGGTGTGTGGAGAGGGATGGAAAGGGGATGAATGTAGCAGGTAAGTAGTGGAAAGGTACCCGGGGAGTCGGATGTCAGGCAGGTTATAATGTGTCCTAAAATCAATGTCTATATTTAGTTCATGATTTTTTGTATTCAGGAGGCTCATGAAGTGAAGTTGATAGGCTTGTCTATGAAAAGGGTTTTGTAAATTCCCTTTGAGGATTAGAACTGAGATATTAGAGAGAGAGAGTGATTTCTTGGGAGGACTAAATATAGACAGTCTCTCTCTCACTGACTCCTTGTAACAGGGAGCCTGCTCGGGGCTGATCTCGCTGTGGCCCGCCCACCTGTTCCTGGGCTAACTGCCCGCATTCTCGCCCACCACGCCTTGTTTTAATTAGTTAAATAGATGTTAATAAGTGGGAGGCTGCCCATTTCCTGCCCCGATTGTGCCCCGATGCCAGGGGGCACGATCTGCAGCTCCATTCCTCCCCTACACCGCAGCCCAAGCCTCGCAGATGGCATCTATAGTTCTCATCATCACCGGCCCCCACACTGGGCCCCAGAACCCTACTATTGAACCCCAGCTGGATTCCTCCCTTCAGGCGGTCTCTTCTGCCGTCATACCAGGCAACATAGCTCCCTGAACTGATCCCCCTTCAGGTGTGATCCCCCCACTGGGACCTTCAGCTTTCTAGCCCTGGCCCACCTAAAAGCCAGTCAGAACCCCAGGCCCTCAGCTCTTGGGCGTCCCTCGTGGTGGGCCCCCGGCCCTTTGATCCTTCTGGTCCTGGCCCCAGCATGGGCCAGTCAGGGGAAATTCAGACAGGCCTGAGTCCATGGCCCGTTTCTCTTTCACCATGGGGCCCACCTTCCCAACCCTCCAACAAAACGGTAACCCACCCGGTTGTGGGGGCTAGGGGTTAAGGTGCCCCACCCCACCTTTCACCAGGGTGGTAGCTGGCCTGGTATTTCCTGGGGGCTCCTGTGCCACTGAGAAACCCACCAGGCCACCCACTCCCGGCAGGGTGCAGTTTTAGGTCATACTAGGAGCCTCCTGACCATCCCCTACAGCTCCTCCTTTACCTCCAGGTGATACCAGCAGCTCTCTAGCCAGGCAGTGGT